ACAGTGGATCGATAAGCCTGATACATATCTAAATTTAGTTCTGAAATTTTCACTGTCTAATGTTTTGTCGATGTGATTAATATTCACCAGTGAATTAAGTGCATTGGAAAAAAACATTATATTGAAAAATATTCGTCATTATTAAACTGTAGACTTACTGATTTAACTATATACATCTTCAAACTGAATAGTAGGAGATATGGTATACTAATCTGTATATCAGTCTCATAAGAAGTAATCAAATGACAAAATGGGAAATATATACTTAAGTAAATTCTTCAGGCAAATAATGGTTTTATCAATGTAGTTAGTCACATGTGTGTGTGCATCTGCGTTAAGGTGCATTTTGGCAGCAAGACTTCTTTCAAACATGTTTTGTTAAATACTATGGAAAAACACATTTTTTATTAATTCTTTAAAATTTCCAAATAATTTGTTTTGTGTTATCAGTAAATTTGCCAAAATTCATATAAAATTTATTTTATATTATTCTTTTCCAAAGTACTTTTGAAAGTTGCTACATTCATTTTCAAGGATTGTTCTGCATGTAGTTACATAACTGGTTTTTAATTTTGGTGAATTATATATGACGGAGAAATAGACCAAAAGGCATATATGCTTTAGATTTTATGTAGATGAAACATTTAAGAATTCAGTTAAAAGATTATATGAACACAAGAGGGATCTATTACAAAATAATGAACTTAATGCATTAATCTTTCATCATAATAAGTTTGACTATAATTTTCACTTCAAGGATGCAGTTTTAATTAAAGGAGGAAGCAATTTCTGAAAACTATAATGTAATGCATTGAAAGTATACTAATTTCAGAATCTTTGGTAAATTTACATCCAGAATTATGTAACATTTCTCCTTTTCTGACAAAACTACTTCTATTACAATGTGGGAAACAATAGCCATAAAAACAAAAACAACAGAAAGCTAAAGGAAATCAGTTAAGCTATATATCTCTTAATACAATGGATGTCAAAGCTTTACATTTAAATCTGAGTGTTTCTGTATATTTAATATATCCTTCCTATATATATATATATATATATATATATATATATATATATATATATATATATATATATATTTATATATATAAGACTGACTCCATCAATAAACCCATTATTAGTCTCAAGAAGTTTATTCTGAAAATGAATCACATTACTTAGAGTTTTTTACATTTTGTCATTCGATCACCCACACTGATTAATCGAGACACCACAAATGATTAATGGATGTCATCTGTCATTCCTATTGAGAGGAAAACAGCAAGAAATTTCAAGTTTACTAAGTGTTCTGTAGTGATGAGGATGAAGATAGATAAAAAAAAAACAACACTTTCTATTGTGGGAATTCCTTAAAGAAATGGAAAATACAGTGAATTAAGTTGATAAATAAGCAGAATGAAGTCAGAATGAAAGAAAAGTAAGCTTCATTTTGTGTGTCTGTTTATACAACAATTGACAATGCTATAAAAAAGCAAACATCTAGTATTAAAGAAAGATTGTCATTAATGAAAAATTATAATCCCAAATTAGCAAAGTGGCTGTCTTTAATAATTATCTCCAGTATGATATCAAAAGGAAGTGCTTTTTGATACAAAAGGGTTTAGGACTGCAAGGCCAGTCTTAATATAGTTATCCTTTAAGAAATCAATTATAGGTACCAAATAATTATTATTAGTTAATAGTAATTACAAGTCGCCCAATATAAATGACAACAGGAACATCTCTTGTATGTTTTTTGAATTAAAAAAAATATAATAAGGATGGTGGCATCCATTGGGATATATCAGTGATTCATAACCGCCATGCCACAGCACATTAGTGGGCTGCAAAATATTGCAGATACCGTGAAAACACATCAGGCATAGGTTTCATACTAAATAAACTGCACAAATAGTTGAATAGAAACAATAAAACAAAGTAAGTTCATATTTGTGTATGTATTTTTTTTTTTAATCTATGGTTTTATTTCATAACATTTAAATGTATACCCTTTAAAAAATTTGCTAAGTGTGCAGTGGTATTTTCATTTGATCCTTGGTGTGCCATTGATTAAAAAGGCTGAGATATACTGTGTTATATAATGTGAATACTATTGGAAATTTTGTAAATACCACAAGACTCATATGCCATCTTCTGTCTTCCAGAAATCTTTTCTTTACGGTTCTTTTCCCTCACTAATCTCTTCTCATTTTCTTTCATTCTTAGTAATCCATTGTTTCTTAGTGGCATTATCCCCTTGCTTGGGACAAAATCATTAAAAAAGAAGGAAATAAGAAAAAGATGTATCTTGCATTTCCTTGAGGGTTTTCTAGAATAAAATGATTCACCTAAAAAAATTATATTTTCTTGGACCTCTGGCATCAAGTTACATAGAGCATGTCTGCATTTTTCCATAATCAGAATGTTTTCAATAATATTCCGAAAATAGAAACCAAACAAAACTGTTTAATCAACAGTGAAACATAAATTCAGAAATAACTGTATAATTCAAGTTAACCTTTCTCTTGATCAGCATGAAGATGTCACCAGATTTTCAAGCTAAAGCAGTCAAGAAATGGAATATTTCCTATTTGTATTTCCCTCCATTATTAATTTTCAATAATCACTTCTGGAGCAAACTGAAAATTCTTTCTAGAAAAAAAGTCTAAGAGAAAGGAATTTCTAGACAAGGTTTTGAAAGAATAAATTCACATAAAACTTGACTGAAGTTAAAATTAACATTGCTGAGTCAATTAAAAGATATGGTGACGTTACAAAAATTAAAGCACAGAATTTTTCTAAAAAAATGAGTTTTAAAATATCCCAGAATTTACATTCTCATATTTAAGATAAAGCGTACATGAAATAAACCTGTAATTTTATATTTCAGATAATCCTGGAAGTTAATTTTTCATATCTCAGATGAATACCCAACTTTTATCATCATGGAATTAAAACATCTATATTTTATGCTTGCCTTTGTTATTTATAAATATATTTGATAATCACCAAAAAGATGAATCATTCCAGGTGCCATTAGGGATTTAGAAGGTAGAATTATCCAGAATATGATTGATACCTATATCTATTTCCTCTGAGTGAATGGATTCTTTGACATATTTTTGGCATAGCTATTTAAACATTAGTTTCATTAACTAATAATCACAAAATATATAAATACTTTATTAATAACATTGCTAGTCATTGCTTTTTAGTTAACTGAACAATATTGTAGCAAGAAGAAACATTAAAATAAATCTTATATAAAAATCATGATATGTTTAAATAATACATTAAATATTTAAAAATATCCTCTTTCTACAGCAAAGCATAGTTTGCACCATTGACAGACATAATTGCAGTCTCTGTATCCATTGCAATGATGTGACATATAACTTCATGGTCATGCTGTGTTCAAAAATATGAAGAAGGTAATGTAAATCATTTTTCACTGGCACATCACCACTTTATGGGTCATTTCAAATGTCATTTTATACAAAGATAGCACCATTCTTTCTACCTGCTACTGGGATGTCATTAGCATATGAGTAGATGCTGAAAAGATTTGGGCCTGACCAAGAAGGCCTTCAGCACAATGTTTGGTCAGATTTTGGAAAATTGGTTGAGCTGAGAACTTTTCAGCCACTCCATATATACATATTTATATTAGCTGTTTTGTCATTTTCTTTCAAGAGATGGGCTTTTTCCAAGCCTGTAAGAAAGGGGGAGTGGGGGAGTAATAGGCCTTAGCCTGTCATGTAGATGCATGACATGATTTACTTTTTATTTCAATTTGTCTTACCAAAGCAAGAGAGGTGAGTTGTCCCTACTGTAGACAGGGGAAAGATTGATTGATTGATGCCTTTCCCAAGGGCATTAGTTTGAAGTGAATACAACAGCTTTGGCTGAAATTTGAACTCAGCCTGCTGATTCCATTTTCAGTGCATTATGCTACCTTCTCTCTCTCTCTATCTATCTATCATACATTAGATATATATGTGTGTGTGTGCATATTCTTTTGAATTCAGATTTATTTCTTTCCAGAATGGACATAAGCTTACTTTTGCTCTGAGGAACATGGAAAATGCATAAAAACTTGGCAAGACAAAAAGTTCATCAGGTGCAGTGAAGAAAATCATAGCCAAGGGATGCGAAATAACAAAAGATGATACAAGGCAGACAGGGGGGGAAAAATCCTTCATTGTCAAATTTCCAATGTACTGAAAAAGTTGAGAAATGAATGTGGGTAGAAGGAAATGAAAGTTATATTGAAAAAGAGAGAAGACAGGAAAACCTGCCATTTTCCAGACTTTTCCTCAAAGTGATTCTTTAGTTGCCAAAAGAAAGATTTCTGTCTCTTGGTCATTGATCTTTATCAACGAAATTCCTGATTTCTCTTCTGTCTTGAACTTTGAATCTTGAAAAGACAAAGAAGTCAATCATTTTTGTTTTTTATTTCTTTAAAAACTTTTATATGGTAAAGGTTCATGTTTTATTTCATTGCTTTATCAACACCTTCATTTCCTGATTATCATACTGACTTAGAGATTTGTAAAAGATCGCCTATCAACTTGCTCTCTGGAATTTATACAGCTTGAAACCAGTACAGCTTAAAATCCTATGGAGTTATGGGCACTTGTGTCATGGCCACAATTTTTATCTAACATTATATCCAGATTATAAATTAAAAAAATGAATTCAGAAATTGATTTACTAATATCTTATTAACAAAATAACATTTCCTATCTTGTATTTATTTTATATTGTTATAAAGTGTGATTTCTTTTGTATTTTATCAGGCCAGTGGAGGTCGTTTATCTTGTATACCGAGAGCTGCCCTATCCTTATTGCTTAGGCATTTACATAATCTATATCTTAGCTATGCTAATTAGGCAATCATTTACTTATCACTACACATATATTATTCAGGCTGTTGCCCTTATCTTTACTTTTCTTTAAAGGTAATGCTTCAGCTGATATCTTTATTCTTCCAAGGCTTACGTTCAAACACTGGTTCTCCTATGATTACTGAAGTTAAGCAACATCAAGCCTGGTTAGTACTTAGATGGATGACTGCTTGGGAATACCAAGGGAGGTAACCTTTGATGTGTGGTTGGTGTTATGGATAACAGCTCAAAATTAGAACTTGAGAAGCTGAGATCCAATTCCAGTCGGGTTCGTTATATTTACTTATATGCAAATACCCTCAGAAAATGTATTAAACCACCTCTTCTCCTCCCAGCTATGGGTTAATTGGTAGGAAATGTATCATTAAATCATTATCTCTAAAAAATTCTTACACTCTAAAAATATTTTCTGCTTTTAAATAACCTACAAAAGGTTGATAAGCCATAATACACAAATATTCAATAGGTGTATGCTATATTCAGTCTCTAAAAATTTTAATGATGTAAACAAGAAAAATAAAGCAGTATCTTAATACAAAGTATACTAGTGAAGACTATCCAATAAGAATCTTATATTAAAAACCACATAGACGAAGAGAATTATCCAGATAATATATGGAACAATAAAAGAAAAATCAAAAAAATCTAAACTTGAGAATTCAAACCTCAAAGTATGAAATAAATACAGATATTGTTATGAAATTAGGTTACCATATAAATGATATTAAACAGAAATTAAAAATTAATTTTCAAACTAAAGCCATCAAGTCAGTCACAGAAAAGTTCCCACCTTTTTCAAACCTTTTTCAATTTGTGCATTTTATAATAAATTCAGACACTGTTATAAAACTGGGTTTCCATATAAATAATATGGCACTTTTATGAGTCTACTATTCCTTCTGAATATTGCTGTCATATTTAGCTATATATCTAGAGATTCTTGAAAAAATCCAAAGAAGAATTTGCAATATTATTGGTTTCGACCTGCCATTTCTGCTTCACTTTCCTACTGCCATAACATAACTTCCCTGTTCCTTTCCTATAAATAGTTTCACAGGTATTGTTCTGATGAGCTTTCCTCATTCCTATGCCAACTTCTCAAATTTAATTGCAGTACTAGATTGCCAGTTAAGTTTCATATTTCACTGTTGCAAGTGTCATGTTCTCTGCTAATAGTTTTTTCTCTTACACTTCTTGCTTGTCTGAACTCTCATCTGGCTTGTGTTTTCAATTCAAATTTGATCTGCAGAAATTTGAATGCAATAACAGAAATCATCTTTTCTCTCCTTGGAACCTGTTATTTTATTGTCTTCACTGTTTCTTTCAATCTTAGCAACCCCTTACATCTTTGTGGTGAAAAAAAATAAAGCTAAAGTCATCAAATAAATTACAGAAGAGTTACTTCCATTTTTTTTAAAACTAATTTGATTTGTGCATTTATTATAAACATTTTTAAACTAATATTTATCTATTGCTTCTTTGTTTAAATTTTTGACTCATACATTCTTTGGATTTCAAAATAAATTATACAAATTTTAAATGTGACTCCTACACTGAACATCCAGTACCCAATGAGCTTATGTCATACAGCATCATGTATACCTTTCTGGTTAGTTTTGGAGCCACTGTACTCAAAAGACATTAATCTTAATCCTACTTGTATCATCTTTCATATTTTCTTGTTCAAATTCTCACAATTTGGAAGCACAAAGAATAAATCAATAGAAAATTTTACAATATGTCAAATAACCAAAATGATTTCTCTTCGAACTTTGAACTAACCGTTTATTATTTTTTCAGTAGAGTCACTCATTTTTTCCCTTATGCTTATCCTGACAATATTTATTGTTTAGAGAAAAAGTTTTATTAGATGTTTTAATGCAGTTATGTGAGTAACTAACAGGAAAAAAAGAAGCAATCAGTTGTACTTGATCTATGAAGACTGTCTTCTCTTTTACAACACAGAGAAATTGGAATGGACATCTAGGATTTTTTGATTTTGATGATAGAACCAGAAACATGAAGCAAATTGTCTCAATAATAATAATTTCTCCAATTGTACTTCTGTTAGCATTATTAATTATATTATGCAATCACCTGTCTCAATTATAAGCCAACTATCATCAATAAATTGGCATTTGTCACCCGAGTCCTAATGAAGATGGAATGAGAATTTCCAAACTCATATTGTGTTAAAACTTAATAGTAAAAACAGAATCAATAAATAAACTATAATCTTTTACTGTTAGATCAAGTTTCGATCTGTACAGATCAACCCTACTTACAGAATGCCCCATCAAAGACAGTGCAAAGAGAAAAACTGCAACAGGAAATCTACAATCATGGAACCTTACTGCCAACTGGGCCATGTAGTGATATGAAAATTACAACCCTTTGACGGTCACTCTATATGTAAGAAAGTTAGCTTTTTGAATTATCAATAAAAGAGAACAGAAAACATGGCTGACTCATACTAAATGCATGGTGTTTGTTGTCTGTTATTACCAAATATGTTTACAAGTCATAGCACATTAACTCCTGGTTTAAAGGATAATGTACACAAAACTCTCCATGTTAAAATGTCACTAATACAGACCTAAGACTTATTCCACTTGTTTCCTGTAATTGATGAGGGAGGACTTGGAACAATAACGGAAAATCCTTCTAAAAAACTAAATGTATTTATGTATATATATATATATATATATATATATGACAATTACATTTAGCATGAAACAGACTGTCACCTCTGGGTGTTGGCTTCAATGTCTAATTTATCCATATAAATATATATATATATATATATATATATATATATAGCTAATATTAGTGGTAAATATACACATACATATGCAAAATATATAAATATATATATACATAGGTGCATACACATACATGTATATTTTTTGAATAAAAATTCAAGAGGATAGAATCCAGGTAGAACTCAATGTCCAGGACAGAGTAAGGATATGATAAAAGGCTTAAACACTAATATTCCATGGAATATTAGTGTTTTAGCCTTATATATATATATATATATATATATATATATATATATATATATATATGTGCATGTAAAATTTTTAAAATATCTATAAAGACAATATAAATAAAAGAAAAGACAGGCAGAAAACATTTTATACTAATGTGTTTCATTCCAAAGCTCTTAAAGAAATGGAACGTGTTAGCAGTTGTCTCTATGTGTGAAAAAGATAAGGTGTATTAATATGAAAGGTCACAAGTTTTTGACCTTATCAAGAAGCCCTTTCAAAATTCTGTTTGGTCATTCAGTCAAATTTTGGTTAGTGGGTTAGGCTAAGAACATTTTGTCACCTCATTGTTTATAAATGATGTAAATATTTTATCAGCTGGAGAGAGCGTTTTTGCATGAGACTCAAAGAATTTCTTGATATGATTATTTCCATTCATCTAGCCTCATTTCATATTATATTTAATGAATTCTCAAACAAAAAAATAATAGTTTTTGAATACTTTGTACTGATATGTTTGAAATGGAATTAAAATTTGAAAAATCTTTTATTGTTGGCTCATTTCATTAACTTGTTATGTAGTCTTTCTTATCTTAGCACAAAACCAGGGCTCTTATCATTTGTAGGACAATGAAGCTTAAATTAAAATTAAATGCATGTTTTTTATCTTATGATCTACAAGATCCTCAGATGTCTCTGCTGGGTTCTCATGGCCATAGTAATGGTAATATTAGTCATTTCCTTATAAGGAAACATTCAGCATTCATTGACCAAGCACCCAGTGTTGCTGTCAGTTGAAATTTATAAAATCAAAACAATTTTTCAGGAAAATAGTTTCCTCAAATCCACTAGCTGTTATTACACTTTCTAGTGTTACATAATTGTGCCCATCTTATGTGTGACAGGTTGTATTGGGTTATATGGCAGTAGCAGTGGTAGCTGATCTATCGAAAGAGGTGGATTTATGACTTTGTTTTGAGCAGGAGTGCTAAGTGAGTACAAAATACTTCAGCTTGAACTTGAACTCAGTTTGTCAATTCCATTTTCATGACCTTTAATCATGCCACCTACTTTAAGGAAATAAATAATTGCAAAAGTTTAATGTAAATTTATCTTTCAGTTTTCAACTGGATAATAACAGGTAAAAAAAAAAGAAATATTTGAAATTTTCCAAGTTACCATATACGTTAACATCAGACTGGAGAAAATATACATATATTTTCACTTACATTTAGGGAATAAAAGTTTAATGTATGGGAAAAATCTTAGAAATGCTTGCAAGCTACACACAATATGATTATCATTCTTGAGTGAAGCAGTGATGTCATAAAGCAATATATTGATTTTTTTGCTATTATGAAGCCAAAACATGCATTTAACGAATCTTTTATGACAGGTAACCTCAGAAAAAAGTGCTGCCCACCTTAAACTTGTTAGACTATGGTTTTCTTAGTGAGGAGATAAAAAATAAGTAAATAAAATATACCGATACCTAAACACTACCAATGAATGTAATGCACACTTGAAGAAAAATGAAGAACATGTCTGCTAAAATGTTGCACTAAAAATAATAATCATAATAATGATGATGATAAAAATGAAGAACATGTCTGCTAAAATGTTGCAGTAAAAATAATAATCATAATAATGATGATGATAAAAATGAAGAACATGTCTGCTAAAATGTTGCAGTAAAAATAATAATCATAATAATGATGATGATAAAAATGAAGACATTAGCCTGATTATCTGGAATGATGACACTTCATCATCACTTGATTTCCCACAACAATTACTGAGACAATTGAAATAGTTCAAATTATAGATACAAGTTATAAAATTGACAGAAAATTGTTTTCTGTTTTTTCAAAGCCTTTATAATAGTTTAATTGCTAACACCTTGTTAAAGCAAGCTGTTGAGTGTGAGTTCAGTCTTTGCTGACTGCTCAAAATATGTGGCCTTGTGCTAAATTCATTCAGTTCAATACATAAAAAATACTATTGTATTACACTTAAAAGCAAAAAAACAAAACACAGGATTACATGCCTATGTGTGGCATCCTCACTGAATTAAGGCTATTAATAAAGGAGAAACTTATGTTGAAATATGTTTGTCATGTAAAATAAATGCAGCTGCAGTGATGTGACTATGGACACACAGAATCAGCTTGGAGTTTGAAAGCCACTTTAATAACA